CCCCAAAACCCCAAAACCCCAAAACCCCTAGAGTCAAAAATTGAGGAATTAAAGCCATAAACTAATTTTATAATTAAAATAAATTTCATTCAAACTTAATCAAAAACATCAAATGAACCATCAAGGCTTTAAGAGTTAAACTCCTCAATTTAGGAACATTAAGGTTATGCAGCCTGTAGTAGTAAATGTTAAAGAGAGAAAGTTAATGTAGGAGTGATAATGAAACTAGGAAAGAGAGGCGAGGCTAAAGGATTAGATATACAAATTGTCAGAAAATTCTACTGAGGTCAGACTTTAAAACTTCTTTCTACACATTGTCCGTGGTAAATTAAGGCTATAAGACACCAAAGCAGTAGTTATTGACTTAGATGCTGTCGCAATAATAGATGAAGAAGATGAGCAATAGAATAAGATCAGATAAGAGATACTCTCATAATAAAAAGAAGAATTACAATGGAATATAATGGATGCAATGTTGAAATCTGGTAATAAATATGACATCATAATAAATCCTCCTGAATTTCATTTAAGTCAAGATCTGACTGAATAGTAAAAAGAAGAGAACAAATAAAAAATGGTCAAATTTCTTTAGACTGCTATTAAGATTGGGAATCAGTAAAAGTATGAGTCAATATCAATTCCAGCCTGCTTGAAATCAATGAAAAATCTCAAACCTAAAACTGAAATATTCCAAGCAATATTTGATGCTATTGATTAATATGATTTAAGCAAACAATCTTCATCAGGATCATTAAAAGTTATCAAGATTATTTTAGAAGACGAATAAGAAAGTGAGTTATTCAATGCTATTTCTTAGAAAATGTATATTCAAAGATAGCCTTATAGCTTACTTATAGAGGATCACATGAAAAAAGAGTAGGAGAAGTAAAATAATGAGATTTCTGAGTTAAAAAAGAACCTCTAACTTATAGTCTAATTTTTGTCCCCTAAAATGAATACTTAAAATGAAAACCTAAACTGATGCTTTAGTTTTGAGGATAAGGTAGAATAAACTTTAAGAAATCTTCTAAAATGTAGTGATTGTGAGAATTTTTAAACTCTAGATGCTCAAGAATTGATTGATCATCAAGATAACTTTTGTAAGATTAACCTAATATAGTGCGATTTCTGCTCTAATAAATATGATATAGAATACATGGTAAGAAATAAGTAATGCTAACATAATTATGTAGGAAGTGCATGTTTAATATGAGTGTGAAAAGAATTATGTCGATTGCCAATATTGTCAAGATCGAATAATAAAATATCAAATAGGTGATCATGAGTAAGCTCATCAAGAATACATAAGAATGGAGGAGGAAAATTTGAAATTGTTTTCATAACATGAATAATAAGCAGCAGAATTATAAGTTTATGAGCTTATAAAATTCTAGCAAGTGCAAGAAATACTTAAGAAGTAGGAAGAAGAAGATTTTCTTTTTGCGTAAATGATTGATTAGCAGAGTGATCGAAGTGATTTAGCAAATAAATTAGTACCTATTGTAGTTGGAGAAAATTAAATCGAAAGCAATAAAAGTAAGCACTTATTTATATATAAAAACTAATGATTAATTTTATTTATTAGACTAAGTTGATGAGGTCTAAAATAATCAAGAGAGTAGTGAAAGAGATGATGAAGTACAAAAGGAAAAAGTTTGTCTTCTTTGTAATCTTGAAATACAAGAAGTAGATATTTGTCATAAATTGCTTTGTGGGCATGAATTTCATAAATCCTGTAGCGAAGAATGGCTAATTAAATGCTATTTCTGCCCTGAATGCCACTTTGATTAAAGATATGTTCCTTGAAGGCTAGTGTTTCAAATATAATGATAATATAAGTCTTACAGCAAGAGTTTTATTCTGATTAAATTGCTCTTAATATAAATTATATTTTACATTTGAAGAATATTCTTAAAATACCTCAAGCTGGGGTTTTGGGGTTTTGGGGAGATCGGAAGAGCACACGTCT